ATTACATTTTCTTTTTTATACTTGAGCATATTTCAGGAACCTGTAACTGTAAAGAAAAAATTAACTTTGCAACCCATAAGTAAAGAAATGAAAAACCTCTCTAAATTGTCCTAAGTTGAATATGTATACTATTCTTAAAAACCATAAAGGCTTTTTTTTTAACTTTAGTGTTTACTGTTAAGCTAAAAATAACTTAATTCAGCTGAGGTTGTCTCAAGATGAGGCATATAAAGCAACCATATCAAAATGGCTATTTGGAGTATTAGGGCAAACCAGAATTGTAAATCTGAATTAAAGTTATCATTATCTCTCTTTATCATTATCATTATCAAAGTATAGTGGGATGGCTCTAGGTGCATAGTCTGAAGCAAGCAGGGAAGCTAACTCAGAGTTTTGTGTTCAATTCTACCAGTCCACAAAAAAATGACAGGCTGTCTCCTATTAGATTTTGTTGTTGTTGTTGTTATATAGTCGAGTCAGACCCTCAAGTGAATTTTCGGAAGCCGTACATCACACAGGAGTCTGTCCATTTTTCTCCCATGGAACAACTGATGGATTCGAACCACGTGCCTTTGTGTTGGCAGCACAACTCCTTATCACATTATTTACAGCCTCTGAAATCAGACTGAGCGCTGCTAAGGGTAAGAACCAACTTGACAGTAGTGAGTCTGAGTTTTCAATATGTAAAGGGGAGGAAGGAGATACATGAACTCCCCCCAAAAGATATTGATTTGCTTCAATTACAAAAAAACCAAAACCAAACCTCCAACCCACCAGAATTACTTAAGAGTTTAGGAGGAACAAGGTTGGACATCAAGTAAAAATGCCTGAAATTTTGTAGTAAAGAGAAAAATATTTTAAAAAAAGAGGAGGAAGAAGGAAGAAAATTCTAAAATTCTTACACCAGGCTAACAGGGGCTGGAGAAGATGATAACACCAGTATGGGGTGGGGGGTGGGGGGGGGAACCTGAAAACCAAAACCGTGAATGTGCAACAGACTTCAATCCAGACAAAGGATTATAGATCATTTACAACCTGAAGTCGGAACTGCTTTGATGGCAACTGGGTTTTGGATAAATATCATATAAACATATGAAAAGCATGCAATGGAAATGAGGACAGGAAAAAAATCAAAATGGAAAAAAGTAAAAGGTCCATTATTTGATGTAAAGGAAAATGCTGTAAGCCCCATGAACAGATAAAACTTTTTTCTATCTTGTTACTGCTGTGTAGTTTTAACTGACTCATTGCTGATCATACACTGAGATCTGATGGTAAATCTGCAAACCACCCACCGTCCTTTGGAACAGTTGGTGGAGTCCAACTGCTGACGTTCCAGTTGGCAGTTCAAACCATAAAGCACTACACCACCACCAGGGCTTTTAACCTTTCTTTGCTGTTACTTTGGGCATGCTGCAAGGAAGGACCAGTCCTTGCAGAGGGACATCGTCCTTGGAAGGACAGAGGGACAGTGCAAGAGAGGAAGAAGCTGGATGAAATAAACTGACTCAGTGACTGGGATATAGGGTAGATGTGTCAAAAACAATGAGGTTGGCTCAGGATAGAGCAGAGATCAGAGCTGCTGTACAAAGGGTCACTACGAATCCAAGCAACTTGACAGCACACAACAACATGCTGTTACTGCCATGTGCCATTAAATCATAACTGACCCTCCAGTGAGTTTTTCCAAGGCAGTTAACTACACAGAAGCAGAGTGCCCATCTTTCTCCCACAGAGCAGCGGTCTATTTGAACCACCTCTGTTTTACTTGGAAGTGCAACTCCTTACCACTAAGCCACCAGAAGAACTCCCTACCCTTTCCATAGAGCAATTTTGTTAACCAGTTTTAAAATGTATACCACGTCTGACTCAATAAAGAGGCTTGGGGAGCACCTGCCATCAAGTCAATTCCTACTTTTAGTTGTAAATGACATACTCATCATCTATATAGCAGTCTATTATTGCACATGCATCATTTGGTTTTTCCAAGTTTTCTCTCTAGGAAGAAAGAAAGTGACTTGACAATGATAGGTTTGGTTTGGTTTGGGTTTCAGCTGTTCTTTGCCATATGCTGCAGTTTCCTTGCCAGTACGTGTTATTTTGAAACAGTTAAGTGTTCAACTTCTAACCAAAAGACTGACAGTTAAAACTCATCAGCTGAACCAAGGGAGAAAGTTCAGCAGCTTCTGTAAAAATTACAGCTATGGAACAGTACTACTCTGGCTGATAAGTTTGTTATGGTAAGAGCAATTTAACACAATGTAATTATTTTCTTTATTTATTGTTTCTCTACACTAAAATATAAGCTTGTTTCTCTTATGGCCTAGCACACAGTATGTGGATGTGGATGAGTAACATACCTCTTTAGCAGACATTAAGCTACATGCTTAGCACAGAATATCTCATTTAATCTTCTCAATGTTCCTCTGAACCACTGTTTTGTATTTGAGTAAACTGAACCTTACACAGGTTAAAAGATGACACATTTTCTACAACATAGCTAGGAAGATAGAATTGAGTGCTCTTGAGTCAGCTCCAACTCTTACAACAAAATAAAACCTGCCTTATCCAAGTGAGATAGTAAATGATGAAATTATCCAGACTCTTACCCTTCATCACCTCCACAGGAGTCCTGCTAGCATAATGACTGCAGTGTCCCACAGCTAACAAAAAGGTCAATATTTTGAACCTACCAGTTACTCAAGGGAGAAAGATACAACAGTAGGCTTCAGTAAAGAGTTAAGGTCTTGGCAAACCTATTGGAAGTTCTACAACTATCTTACAGGGAGCTCTGGCAGTAAGGAGTTGTGCTGCCAATCCAAAGAAACATGGTTCAAATTCACCAGCTGTTGGAGAAAGATGGAAAATCTCTTGTGTGACCAACAGTCTCTGAAAACCCTCCAGGGAGCTCTGGTACGCGGTTCAAATTCACCAGCTGTTCTGTGGAATTTGAGAAATAGCTCCTGTGGGATTTATAGCCTCTAAAACCCACCGGAGGGTCAACTGTAAATCAGTTCCATCTTGATGGCACAGAACTACAACAAACTCATAGGGTCACTATGAGTGGAAACCAACTTGAAAGAAATGGGTTTGGTCACCCACCTCCAACAATCTCACTTTCAGAGATGTAAACTAAGATCATGTTTCAAAGATGCATGCATAAAAAGTCAATACTGTAATCTTAACAAATGGAAACAATCTAACTGCTCATCAAGAATAACAAAACAAATACTAGTATCTCATAACTTACACTAGTTTGCTTTTATTAAAGAGCATGCAAAAGTCACAAACACATTGAAGTGGGAAAAGTGTCTGTGACACTGTACAGGAAAGCTGCAAGTGTGTAAAACTTTATGTCTTGTTCTTTAGTTCCAGCACATAGAACAATGCCCAATGCCTTATACAAAAAAAAAAAAAAAGGGGGGGGGGGGTCTGGTGGCCTAGTGGCAAGAAACTGCACTGCAATCCCAGAGGTACTCGTTTTGAATCCACCAGAAAGATGCTCTGCTGGAGAAAGAGGGGAAATTTCCTCCTGTACCAATCAGATCTGATTTGACAGTACACACACAAAAATAAAATAGATGAATATTTTAAAAAAAAGTTTCTCTGTCTGTATTTGTTTAAAGCTAGTTACAGAACAACAATCTTAGTATGAACACAGGATAGTCACAAAAGGTTAACAAAGTAACAGAATTTTGGGATGGAGATGTATATGTGTTTAACTTCTTTCTTTATCTTTTAACTATTTCTGTCCTTTATAATCCATTTTCATTTTTATGACTGGGGGAAAACACCAATTTTTAAGGACTCCAGAAGGTGCTCAATGACCACAGCTTATGAAACCCAAGAAAACTAAGGTCAATATAATCAAAGCTTTCTGTTTTCTTCCAGATCCAAAAAAATATCATTATCTCTTGTACCAATGTTGCATCTTTCTCAAGCACCAGGAAATGCCACCCTACACTAATAAAATGCAGTGTTTCCAAAAGGTAACCTCCACCTTTTCTGTAGTACACAGGGGGCGGAACCTAAAAGTAACTAATTTTTTATCCTTTCCCCATCTCTTCCAACCCCCTATACTACTTGGTGATAAAGATTCACACACACACAGTGGTTCTTTTTTCCAGACTGAAAATGGCATGTGAATCCACATTAGTATTCAAGTCTTGTCAAGTCTTCAGGAAAGCAGGTTTTATTTTAAATACATCTAAACCTCTTAAGTATCGAAGCTGGCAAGATACCCTATCACTATTCATTCCCTCACCAGTATCAATAATCTTATTCGCTGTTTGGCCCTTCTGGAAAGGGAAGCTCCATGAGGCCAGGAATTCCATCTTTTTCACCACTGTGTCCGCAACACAATTAACAGTGAATACTCAGTAGGCCCCAAGAAGTCCAATTAACTAATGAAAATATACGGGGGGGGGGGGCAGAGGGATACCAATCTAAACAAGGCAATAAGTGGAAACTGGAAAAAAGGAAAAGAAATCCACAATGAACGTTCACAGAACTCAAAGCTATATGACAGCTCCTAGGCTCCGAGGGCAAGTGCCTCCCGCCTATCTAAACACAGAGAGCTCTTCCAGGAAGAAAATCCAAAGGGAAATCTGCAGGTAGCTGCGCGCAGTTCTCAAAACAGAAGAAATGGCTATTAGCATAGCAAATGAGGCCCGTGGCGAGAAAACAACAAAGCAGAGCAATACACCATACATTTTGGCCCAGAAGACAAGCACCGCAAACCCCCAATACAAACCAAGCAAACAACCTTCCGCCTGACACGTAAGGCGAACTGTCTCCTTCACCCGGGTCACGCAGTCCCCTGCAGCCCCGCAACCCGCTCACTCGGCGAGCACTTTCGGCTTCCAAGCCAGTCCAAGAGGGGATGTAATAGGGAGAAATGCCTGGGAATTAGCTCTCATCAGCGCACCAAACCCAGGCCCCTTCAGAGCAAATCTCCTCCACTCCCCAGGGCCCCGTGTCACGAGAAGCCCCTTACTCACGTGTAAACGATGGCCATGAAATGCATCAGCCACAGCACCAAAAAGAGGATGAACCCAAAGACGGCCATTCCCTCCAGGGCCAGGTCCAGCAGCGCCATCCCCCGGCCCTCCGGCCCACTCCGGCCCCCGCAGCAAACAGCGCTCTCCCAGGAGGCGGACTGGGTGGGCGCCCGGCGCGGGGGCGCAGGAGGGGAGAGGAAGGTAGCGAGAGGAAGGGGAGGATGGGGCTGGGGACGGAAGGGGCGGGCAAGGCTTGCGCGCCCCCGTCCGCGCGCGCTCGCGGCTGCGGGCGCTGTGGTGCCCGGGCTCGGTGGGTAGGATGGCGGTGGACCCGCGCTCCGACTCGGCTCTCCAGATCTTCGCCAAGCCCTGCGCGCTGCCGCCCCAGCCCCCGCCGCGCCGCCGCCGCCTCGCCGCCAGGCCCCAGACCGCGCACTCTCTCGCCCAGCTCCGCCGCCGCAGCTCCACGCACTAATCGAAACCAGCGGATCGCGCCTGTACTTCCCGGCGAGC